ACCCACAACCACTTATACGACATCCACTCCACCCGTCAAAAGCAATGATAAGTACCAATGGCTAGGAGAGCATTTTGTGAGCATTAGTCCAGCAGATTTAGGAGGAAGCTCGCTATTCAAAGTCAAACAAGAGAATGGTCAATCGTATCTGTATCTCACGCGTACTGTGGATTGGCATTTTCAAAATCTGAATGTCCTGTTTAATACGCATGTGGGAACCGTAAAACAAGCCGTCATGATTTATTGCGATGCTGTAGAATCTACCATTGTAGGATCACAACGTCATTCCCTGTTAAGAAAAGTGGAATTAGAACGAAAAGGAGAAGGGAGAGCGACCATAGAACCTTACCATCGTGAACGGATTCGAGTTCGAAATCAACACATAAAAAGCATTGAAGTGTCATTGGCTACACCAGATCCTTGTTGGTCTTATCCCCCGGCAAAACCATCATTACCCTTGGTTTTCAACAAGTATAAAAGAGACCCTGTCTTATGGAAACATCACCATTACAACAAACAACATGTTAGGAGGATCACTGACACGCTATCATACCCCCACTATGTATGGGAAAGGGTTATGCAAGATTTGGTGAAATTAGCGGGACCCAGTGTAGTACGCTCGATTGGGCATGGATTACATGCTTATGAAAAAGGGGCGTCAGCTTCCGAAGCCTTAAAAGGGTCAGGAGAAGTGTTAAAAAGAGGACTCAAACGTAAAATACCCGCCGCTATTGGCCTGGCTGTGAAAAGCAAAGCCAAACAAACCTATAAAAAGAAATGACAACATGTGAAAGACATTTTAGGCGTGTAAACCATGAGACAAGGACAGAAATCACAATCTCGCATAAGACATCAACGACCTGTGGGTCGTTACCATTCACCTTATCAACGGGGAGGCACTATTTTTAGACAGCCTCCCAACCCCTGGCGATTTACTAATCCGTATGAAATAGAACCATGGATGGCAAGAAGAATAAGGAAACAAAGAGGAGGAAAAGTGCATCCAGTCATTTACCCTTGGAAAAACAAAGGACGGAAACGTATAAATAGACGGCGCAAACGCCGTTAAGCTATCAGTCTGTCAACATGTCACTGAATCTGTTTGACATTCCCAACATTGACTATAGGTATGAAGCCAAACGGTGGATTCCTTTCAAACCTGCCAATACTGGAAAACGCCCTATTCTTTTTACTGTACCGGCCGGGGATGATTATTATGATTTGAATGAAACCAAGCTAGAAATCAAAGTGCGTATGAACACCACTGGGACAGGAGGACTTTCCGATGATGAAACAGGGGCTTCGGATGGTAATGATACCAAGTATGTCTATTGTGTCAACAATTTTGGGCATTCTCTCTTTAATCAAATGAATGTGTCTTTCAATGGAGTGCTGATGACAGAACAAAGCAATGCCTATCACCAGAAAGCTTACCTAGAAACCCTACAGAATTTTAATCGTCAAGAAGGAGAAACGACTTTGGCTGCTCAAGGATGGGTGAATGAACTCAATGTCCTTGAAGAGTTAACCCCTACCAATGCAGGCAATAATGATAAACCCAACCCCAACAACTGGAGTGGAAAAACAGGTCTGAAAGCACTGACCAGTCGCTTACTCGGTAAAGCGTACCATACCTTTATCATCAAACCCCACATTGCTGTGTTCAAAACAGGCAAATGTTTGGTTCCTAACGTGCAGATTGATTTGGAATTGTATTTGAATGACAGCAACATGTTTCTGTTTGGCACCCCGGACACAACTACGTCTGTCAACAAAAAGATTCCAACACTGGGAGACAATGATTTGTCTGTCACACTCTGGATGAAAAAAGTCATTCTCAATGCCTCTGTGTATTCCAGGCTACAAAAAGAAAGAAGTTTAAGTAAAACCAAAAAAGTTCGTTACCCAGTCGTTCGAAGTGAAATCCGAACGTATTCGTTCGATGGGAACAGCACACGTTGGTCTCAGGACAATGTCTTCTTGAACAAGGTACCTATCAAAGTCATTATCGGACTCATGAATTCCACGAATTACAATGGAAGTCTGAAGCATTACCCTTATGCTTATGAAAAGTTTGGCGTCACCCGAGTTCGACAACGGATTGATGGCGAAGAATACCCGTATATAGGCTTGGAACTAACAGGCAATTCCAAAGCAGAAGATTTAGTAGGCTATGATCGCTTCCTCACAGCGTCCGGCGCTTACAAGCACCACAGGGTGCCCATGCTGCTCCCAAGCGACTGGGGACAAGGTAACAATTGTACCTTGTTCATGTTTAACAATGCTCCTGGCGATGTGGATGTTCCTAGCTATAGAAATCCTAAACTCACGGGGAATGTCAGCTATGAAATTGACTTCAGAGCTAATGTAGGTCACAATGTGACGGTAGTCATTTGGAGTGAGTATGAAAATGTCTATGAAATAGACCAGTGGGGAGGCATTCTTTATTCCATCAACAGCTAGGATGGAGTTCGTACCTCTCAGTGATACAGTCCTCAATTACTTAGCAGAAGATGATCGCGAATTACGACCTTATTTTCGTGGTGTGTTTCCAGCCGATCAATTACCCCCTGGGTCTAAGAAACGAGTGAATGCTTACATTGTTAACACAGATCCAGCGAGTCAACCGGGGGAACATTGGTTAGCGATTTGGACGAATCCCACTACCTGTGAAGTCTTTGACAGTTATGGGTTGCCGCTCTCTACCTACAAAAACCCTACCTTACAAGCTTGGTTCAGTCAGTGGAAAGAAATCATTAGCAGTGATCAGACTTTACAAGCCATGGATAGTTTTACGTGCGGTCATTATGCACTTTTCTTTTTAAAAGCAAAAGCCAGACATGCTTCTTTTCAAGAATTTTTAGCTCAGTGGCATTCCAATAATTTAGTGTTAAATGATAGACGAGTCGCAGACAAACTGTAGCGTCTCATTAAAACAGAGCTGACAGAGTATGAGCAATCTAATCTAAACCGTTCTTCTTTTTTCATTCATGAATAAAATTGTGTGTGTTACTTTTGACTGTGTCATTTCTATCATGATATTACGGGGGGATGTTCAAAAAGTGCTCCATGCACTGTTAGAAAAAGAATGGTCTTATTGGAAAGATCACAAACAAGAATGGATCAGACTCTGTCTTGATCCAGCGGAACTGTGGGATGGGTATCATTGGCAATTTGTACGATGTTTAGTGCAAGCTAATTTGTGGTGGGACTTAAAAAATCATATAAAAGGAATAGGTGAAACACATTTGAAAGATCAAATACTAATCCTTATTCAGTTAAACTCACCGCGATTGTATCAATCACTATGGGGCGAAGACATCGTAGAGTCCTAAAAAAACGAAAAAGTCAAAAAGGGGGTGCTAGATTTAGGCGAAAACCGCGTTTAGTGGATAAAATTGCCGAGGGAGTCGCCATGGGGTTGTCCGGTCCTTCTCCTAGTTTTATCAAATTAGGGGCCTTTTAGGAAAACAAGCGCTGAAAGGTATAAAAGATAACGTACAACATTACAGACGGCGAAAATGATTCGACAACCTGCTAGCGTGATTGTAGCTGGTCCCTCAGGTAGCGGGAAAAGTGAATTAGTGGAAAAATTACTCAAAGAAAAAACCTTGTTTGACCCTCCTCCGAAAAAAGTAATGTATTGCTATGACAGATGGCAAACCAGATTTGATCGCATGAAAAAACATATTATTTTTTACAAAGGACTTCCTCCTGAAGGGGCTCTCGTGAAATGGTTTAAACCAGAGCATCATGGCATACTCATTTTGGATGATTTAATGGAAGAATCGGGAAGTGATAAGCGTGTGTTGGATTTATTTACAAAAGATTCTCACCATCGAGGCATTACCGCTCTTTATATTACACAAGATCTCTTTCCCCCAGGCAAGTTTGCAAAAACGATTAACCGCAATGCGCACTATGTGATTTGTTTTAAATCACCCAGGGATAAGACAGGCATTCGACATTTACTGCTTCAAGTGTACCCTGAAAAATGGCGTCAAGTACTCAAATTGTTTTTAAAACTGACCTCACGTCCTTTTGGTTATTTTATGTTGGATTTACATCCTGCCTCCGATGACTGTTTCCGTATTTGGAGTCATTTAACCAAAGCAGAGGGAACAACACGCGTTCATACCTTTGACGAAGATATAAATAGCCGTTCCCTCTCCAACAAACGCCAATTTAAACATGAAACGGAAAGGACACCCAAAAAGAAGAAAAGGTAAACCGGGGGTAGGAAGACGACGAGGCGGGATTACTCCCATGTTAGCCGCAGTGATTCCAGCTTTAGCCGCTGGAGGAAAAGCGGCCGCGTTAGGAGGTTTAAGTGCATTGACGAAATATGGTACTAAGAAAGCAATCCAAGCGTTAGAGAAAAAGAAGTATAAAAGGAGGAGACGCCAACCAACATGAAGAAAGACATAAACATGGGACGTATGACGAGACAGAGTCATTTTTTAAACGATGTGTTAAAAGAACCTAACCAAAATAAGCGGCAACAAAAATTACGGTATGCAAATGCAGATCAAATTAATGCTGTGAGTGAGTTAGTGATGAACACCTTGCGGGGGAGTGTTAAACCTGGGAGAAAAACAGTGAGCCGTTTAAAACCCTATCGTCAATCTCTCCGAGTCATTGCCAACCCTCGTCAGAGTATAAAAAAGCGCAAACACTTGATGAGTACTCAAATAGGTGCGGGTGCGTGGAAAGAATTACATCGCTGTTATCACTGTGCTAAAAGGCAATATCAGTCATGAAACGTAAAGTGTTATAACGACTTCTTTGTCTATTAGACTATTTGTTGCTACTAGCACAAATGATCAAAGAGTTTCAACAAAAAGTCAAAGAGAGATGCAGACCCAAACCAATATAAAGACAAGGCTTAACGCTTATTTTCATTAGCAAGCATGGACAGCATTTCATCCACACCGATTGAAAACTCAGTGCAATTTTTACGTTTGCGAGATAAATATAAATCTAATCTTTTAGACGATAGCCGTTTAACCAAAGCAGCCGATTTAGCCGCTCAAAAAGAACTTTTGCTGGAGAGTCCCGCCCCCGATACATGGAAAGAACCTCGTTTAAAATCAGTCAACCGAGAATTACAACAATGGGTTAAGAAAATTCGTCAACCAGGAGGAACACGAGGAATAAGTCGCAATGAAGACGACAGTGATGATGAAGGAAATTTAGCTGTTGGCCCGCTACAACAATTTATGGGAAACATTTCAAAAATCAGTAAGGCTATAAAAAGGAAACCAGAACCGGTCACCCCTCAATCAGTGTTACAAACTCCTGTGGTCAAACAAAGTCCTTCTACGAGTAAAAAACCCAAGTTAACTTTTAAGACCGGATCCAAGGCAAAGCGGCTGTTACCCAAGACCCCTAAAAAGACTCCTTGCTCTGGATACAAGACTCCTAAAAAGAAAAAGACTCGTTCCCCTCCTACCAGTGTTTTTGGTACAGCGGAAGAAGAAGGCTTTGCTGTTAAATCCCCTTTTCAAAAAGCTCAGGAGAGTATTGAAAAAAAATTTAATGAAGCATCAAAAAGAGCTGCTGAAAGGGCTAAAGAAAGAGCCTTAAAGAAACTCGCAACTGTTCCAGGCTGGAAACCGTTTGGCACACCGGCAAAAAGACGATTAGATGGCAAAGACTGGTAAAAGGAAGGTTCGCAGAAAAAGACCGCAAAAGAAAAGAAAGCGGGGTCAGCGTGGGGCTGCGTTGGATATTCAGAAGCTTATTGAAAAAACAGGTAAAGAGTTTCATTGGCCTAAAATGAATTATCTTGGTCCAGGGACTCAGCTTCAAAAAAGACTAAGGAGGGGTGACCAAGGCGTCAATAGATTAGATGGATTAGCGAAAATCCATGACATCGATTATTCCAAAGCGAAAAATTTACAGGACAAGTGGAAAGCGGACGATAAAATGATTCGTGCTATTTCAAAGCTCCCAGGCAAGAAAACCATGCAAGAACGGATTGTTAAAAAGATCATGCAAACAAAACGCAAACTTAAGCTGTAATTCTGTTTTCATTCACTAAATAAAATGTGTTGTTACAATTAAAATTTTGTGAGTCTTATTCTTTCTTATGTGAGGGACCTTATAAGGTCCCTGGGACCTTGATAATTTTAGGGGCCTTTAAGGCCCCGGGGCCTTAAGAATTTTTCGTAGGGGTCTTGGGACCTTTGGATGACTCATTTGTAAGTTGCAGACTTTTTCCACCCATAAGAATTTTATTTTTGTAGACTTTTTCACACATAAGAGTTTTAGTCTTTCTTAAAATGCAGTCGAATCACACACTGACTTTGACTGTAAAAATTTACTTTCTGGTCATCCAGTTCTTTCAGGGTAATTTCCACTTCATCCCAATGATTTGTTTGCACCTCATAAAATTCTTCCACGGGTGGGGTAAACACATAGCGTTGCAATCCTTTGGGCGCATAATAGACTTGGCCTAAGGATTGCGTGACGGTCACGCTGTTAGCGGTCACTTTGGCTGAGACTTCCAGGGGTCTGGGGTAGAGGTTTAAGGCATCTTCAAAACTTTGATTGAGGTTAATAAAACGCCAATCGGAGAGAGTGCTTAAATGAAGCCAATTGCCAAGTATTTGGGTGGGTTTTCCCGTCTCCAAGGAACTGGCTCCTTTAGTGTGATTGGGGTAGCTATGTACCAAATTTGGTCCCATGCTATCGGCTTGATTAGACTTGGTATTTATCCAATGCAATGTTTCCGCCAACGGTTTGTAGATATAAATTGAATTGTCCGTATGGCTATGAGTTAAGACGAGTTCCGCTTGCACACCGTCTTTATTCCACGCTAATGTATGCCAACGGGCTGAACTAAACTTAAAACCATCATCCAAACTAGCGTGCGCTGTTTCTTCTATTCTATGTTTCACTGTATTAAGAAAATCCACCCCTTCATGACAGGCGCCTGCTTTTTCCCATTCACGTAAATCACTTGCACTGATATAGCCTTTTTGCGACACACCGGATTGATTTGCTTTTTCAGTCTCAGCCCATAATTCCATTAAGTTCACATCGGCACTCTGCAAGTCTTTAAATAGAGACATTTTAGGCAAAATTGCCGAAGCAATTGAGACTTTCCATCTTTCCCCGTGTAATCTTAACCCAGGTTTGACTTTTGGGTGACATCGCTTACGAGGGTTAAGTAAATGTTCGACATGTTTACGAAAAGTAACTTGACCAACCCTGTTCCCTCTATTTATACAAACAGAGACCACACCAATCAATTGTGTCGCGAACTTAGTTTATTAAGCCGTTTTTACCTCCCTTCGATAAAACGTTACAAATCCTAATTTAATCTCAAAAACAAAGCATGCAAGGGGTTCGCGCTTCCAAGCTACTGTACCCCTATAAAAACTACATACAAAAGCTAAAGCGGGTTGGCGCTACCAAGCAAACCGTACCCGCACTATTTACAAGTCCATTAAAAGTTCAGCGTCTCCCCCGAACCAGTTGTAGCCGTAGGGCGTGGAAGAACGAGTGGCAGGGTCAATCACACGTTTATCAAACACCAGTTGATACTGTTTTTTACGATCCGTGAGCTTGATTTCCTTGGTGACTTGGTCCCGTTGAAAGTAATCGGGAATGGTAATCACTATTTTACGTGCTTTTTTCAGCGGTTCATCCAATTCTTTCAGGATGTTTTCCTTCATCGTGTGATAATTTAAGACTTGTTTTGTCTCGCAATTGAGCGAAAACCCGCGTACTTTACATTCGGTTTTACCTTTCTTGGTGAGGTAGCCATAGTTTTTCGCCCCGCCACTGCAAAATTCGATGATCACATCGCCTTCAATCTCGTTGGTGAACTGACCCAAAAATTCTCCCAGAGGAAGCTTCTCTTGACCCCGCTTGGTTTTATAAATGACTGAGTCTGTATCGTAATACAAGACTCGGTCACCTAAAAAATCAAGGGCATCGTACAGCTTTAAACGGGCGAGCGAAGTGGTGAACGCCGCGATAAACACGTTTTGCTTGAACGAGCGCTGATATTCGTCTTCGTTTTTTGTGACGACCAACTCCATGACGTCCTCAGAGCAAATTCGCACACTGTGAATGGCATTGACAGGGTCTTCTAACAGCTGGAAGAGTTGCGAAGGCTGAGTAATGCAGTGTGTTACAGGTTTGTTCTGCCGTTCACCAAATTTGCCCCATAAACTGAAAGATAGAATAAAAAAATAGACATTTGTTATTGTTTCCTGCGCGGTCCGCAGAATATAATTTTTCGATCGTGCAATCCTATTTGCACCGTAGTAATCATTTCGTCAACTGAAAAATGCAGTAAAACACTGCAAATAAATTTTCTTAAGTGTAGACTTTTTAAGCACATTTCCCATACAAATCCTTGTTATTTTTGATTGCAAGCGTGCAATCCTATTTGCGCAGTCACAAACATTTCGCGACCTGAAATTTGCGGTAAAACACCGGAAGTTAACTTTAAAATGTGCAGTCTTTTACTGTAAGTTAATTTTTAAGTGTGGAAAAACATGACTCACCTGTTCAAAAGTAATTTTGCAATACTTTTCCTCCCAGGATTCACGGCTATCTTGTCAGGGTCCAACTTAATTCCTTCATGTTGTTCATACCGTCTCACGTACTCAGCTTTCTGCTCTGGGGTTTCAACTCTGGCAGGCCAACCAGAGCTCTCTTGTTTCAGCTTTAGCCAGGTATTGACGTAGCCTGCAAATAGGCCTTGACGACGATTTTCTTCAGGAAAGTGCCAGACTTCGTGGATTTTTACGATCTGGTAACCTTTCTCCACGGCTTTTTGGAGTTCAGGAGTACACCAGGTTCCCTTCAGCATACGTTCCTCGCGTGTGTGACCGCACATATTGCTCCGTTCTAGCAAAGGGTTGGCTAACTCTTCTTGAACGCATGACCTGCAGAGAGGAAAAGTAAGTTTTCCACCGGCTCTGACCGGCAGAACAGGGTGGTACAACCGCTCGGGAGCCAGGATATCAACTTGCGCGATGCCAAAGTACTCACTAATATTCTGGTTTTGGGGCTGATAAATGATCTGCGGGAAACCAACAGGATACATTCCATACTTGTTGATACTTGGGTACAGGGATGTGAAATCCACATAACCGACTTCCTCATCCTCACCAGCTTTTGAGTAAAGGGTCGCGGCTCCCGTTCGCCCTCCAAAGAATGCGTCTCGCGGTTCAAGCGGCGGGACGTAATGGAACGTTTCCAAGAATTCCACCAACTCTGGATCGGTTTCTTTCTGTTTTGCGAAGTCGCACCCCCACATTTCAATGACGCTGTACCCCGCCTCACGAAGGATGGCCGCTTTCCTAAGTGTGGCTACATAGACTTCATCGACAGTTCGATCAGGATGACAGAATCGCTTCATATTGCCTTGCTTCGGGTAACATTTCCGGCATCCGTGAAAAATGCACCCATGATACTCGTAGATGGTATTGCTGGCTGCGTGAAACCCATCCACATAGTACGATTGAGCAGGGGTGATCACTTTGACTTCGCCCTCCAAGGAATTTCGTACATGCTGTAAAAGAGAAAAAATAATATTATTGTTTCCTGCGCGGTCCGCAGAATATAATTTTTCGATCGTGCAATCCTATTTGCACCGTAGTAATCATTTCGTCAACTGAAAAATGCAGTAAAACACTGCAAATAAATTTTCTTAAGTGCAGACTTTTTAAGCACATTTCCCATACAAATCCTTGTTATTTTTTATTGCAAGCGTGCAATCCTATTTGCGCAGTCGTAAACATTTCGCCACCTGAAATTTGCGGTAAAACACTGCGTATTCAAATTCAAATGTGCAGACTTTTACTGCAAGTTAATTTTTTTAGTGTGGAAAAACACTGCAACTTAACAAAATCATACCTGAATACCGCCACCAATCTTGGTGTTTTCGAATTCCATCCACTGCAAGGCCTCCACGCTCTGATTTTGTTGGTTGTGACGCCAGCCACCCAGAGGTTCCAAGGCAATGGTGTACGGCTCCAAAAACTTCTTTTGAAACACTTTAAAAGCGGTACTGGCAATGATCACACATTCCACCGTAGGGTCTATGCCAGTCAGTTCCTTCATTTCTTTTGCAAATGTTTCCATGGATTGGGTTAAGACTTGCACATCGCTTTTCAAATAAGCGGACAGTTCTTTTTGACAGTCCAAAATGGCGCCGCTGTTAACTTTTTCTTTGTGCCAAGTTAAAAATTCCTTTCGCCGTTTTTCATTCATACGTTCTGGATGGTATTCTTCTGCTTTTGGGTAGGGACCAACGTAATAAATCTTGTCTTCAGAAATGTAAGAATAAGGGAAGAAACCCTTATGCGCTTCCTTCAAATTAAATGTAGCCGGCAAGCGTTCTAAAGGCATGTTAAAAAAATTCAAAGAATCCCGAAAAATCATATTTCCACACTGAAACGACAAAACTTTAGCCCCCATACTCAAGACCTTTTCGACTTTGTAACCCTTATCATACAACAACTGCAAAATAAAAGACGAATCAAACCCTCGCATGTTGTGAGCAAACACAAACACTTTCCGTTCTTTCATGTCCGCGGTAACCGTTTTCGCCATCACATCCTCCAACATATCCGATGCCTTGCCTGCTTCGCGGTAGCTACCTTCCACATTCACATATTGCCAGCCCACACGCACATCCTCAAAATCCTTATTTTCATCCAACCCACATTCAAAATCAATACAACACACCAACGGGGGCGGTTCTTCGTCCTCTTCTTTTTGACTTTTTTCCGCGGCTTCCGCTTCAACCATGTCTTCCAGAATCGCACGGTCTTCTTCGTTCATTTCATCGGCCTGGTCGAGAAGATTGCTGAACTCCATTCCAAGCGGTTGAATGTAACACTGATGGTTCGGCAAAACTTTCTCTCGGCAGTTAGGACATCGGTATTCTCCGCATACATGCTTCTTTTTCTTCGAACACTTGTAAACTTTACAGCACTCGGGACACTTTTTGAATCGCTGACACAGCTTTGTTTTGTGAGCGTTGAAACAGTTTTGTCCGTAAAACGACTGACCACATTCATTGCAGAAGACAAGAGCAGGCTTTCTTTCTTGAAAATCAGGGCATTCGCCGTTTTTTCTTCGACACTTGTTACAGTTTTGATGAGAACAATTATGATGCTTTGCATCTTCTTGGTTGTAACCTTTGTTACATTGATGACAGTAATAACTCTTGTTTAGGAGAGCGGGTACACTTCGTAACCCGTGAAAATGTTGTTCTACTTTGAGTAGACACAGTTTTTTAGGCGCCGAATCAAACGAGTCGACGCAATACCAGAGAGCGCCGCAGATTCCTTCAAAGATTTTAATTTGGTACCCTTGAGGGCCAAGATGTTCTTGCATTTTCTGAATTTCCGGCAGACCGCACAGTCCTTCAGGAACCCCGGCTTCTTGATGCAGTTTGTAGGCAAGATGACCCTGCAGTCCGCGTCCTTTAGAAATATTTTTATGCTCTGGGTCTTGGTCCACAAAGGCTTTGGCGGACACCAAGGCTCGGGCGAAACAAAGTTCATCTTTGTTCTTAATGGTAATCACGGATCGTTTATTGAGCAACTGCTCAAACGACTTGTTGCCTAGCTTGTTTCTGGCTGGTCTTCCGCCCCGTTGCTGGGTCTTAAAAAAAGACAGTTCTGCGAAAAATTCGCCGCTTGCAGCATCAAAACTTTCCGCTGAGTTCAGTTGTTTTGCGAGCTTTTCCAACCACTGGCGCGTGAGGGGCGAACCTTGAAGCCACTCGCTCAGGGGAACTCTAGGACAACTGGTCCAAGTGTGGGTCCCTGTACTATGGTGAATAGCCATCGACATGGAATACTCGTCAGGGTTGACAATGCTATTGCGAGGATCGCGGATAAAATTAATTAGCCCTTGGTGGAAGGCTTCTGCAACCTCTTCTCCCTGATATTCTCCATTCGGTGGGCGTAGTTGCTCTAGAGAAAATCGGACTTGCATTTGGAGGGCCACGCTACGGTGAAATGAACGGGGCGCTCTCACTCGCTGCATGTTCACCGCAAATAACGGATTCCCTCCTTGCTGGTCTGCTCGGCGCGCGGCGATAAGCAGATCGCTTTCGTCCTCCGAGTCAATTAACTCTTCTCCTTGACTAACGGTCCAGTCTGGAATTTCTTCCAACAAGGAATCGAGTCCATCCTCCATAAGCGCGCGAATGTATGGATCCATCGTTTTCAAAAAGTCTCGCAAAAAGCTCCGCTCAGTAAGACAGTAAAAACTGAATGACGCTTTAAGAGACGCAGTTTAGTTAAATTAGCTGTGGAGTACGTGCTTCGAATTTCATTCATGCGTCATAAACAAAGAACGTTCTAATGAGAATTTCAAAAGCCGTTCAAGGTTGCTCTTTGTTCTTTTTTCCAATTAATTTTTTAACTCTAGAATAATTCTTTGTCTAATTAATTTTTGGCTGAGTCAGCTATACTCTTTGTTGTTTTCCCTGAATTTGACAATGCTCGGTTTATTAGTTCTCAGAAAACCCCTCACTGCCTGAACGTGCATTTGACAGTTCAGTTCATTTCTCTTTCCCCAAAAGACAAAAGTAAATTACACGCAAACTTAACTTTTATTTACATTTAACCTCCCTTCGGTAAAATGTTACAATCACTTTCTTAGTAAATGCAGTGAGAGGAACGTATTTTAACCGCAAGTCGGCTAAAGTCCTTTTCAAAGCACTTTCTTCTTATTTACAAACTGGAACATATCAGATTCCTAATGAATCTGGTCCAACAAAGTCATCTTGATAATCTTGAAAAAACCAAGGAAAATCTAATTTTAAGTGAGCGTAGGTTCGCTCAAAGCGCTCGATCATGGATGTAATATGCGGAAAAAAGGATTGTTCAAGCTTTAAATCATCCAAGGTTACATTGGTATCAAGACGTCCAATAAGATTTTCTAAAGATGAAAATACTTCATTGGGAGAATTAGGTGGCCTGTAACACGTGACAATAACAAACGGTTTCGAATTCGGTTTTCTGATTTCAAGACAAATTTTCTAAATTGTTTATATGTAGATCTGTGGGTAGAGAATAGTTAATGGCCATTTTGATATAGAAGCAAACACGCCAGCCATTTCTATTTCTGTCGCGTCGTACTATCTCGTATTTGGGTACATAGATTTCAGAATTCAGTATACCTTTATCTAGTGTCGTTTCATTGATTGAGATAACATCTAAAAGATGATTGGCAAGCAGGATTCTAAGTTTATCGATATGCTTAGTCAAGCTAGTTATGTTAAGAGAAGCCATTTTAAAGCCACGTTTAGTGGCACGGCAATTCATTAGGAATTCAAATATTTTTAAAATAACTTACAAAATGAGAAACAAACGCCTTGGTTCCGTACAAATTTAATTGAAGACCGTTAGAATTTAGGTGTTCACCTGTACTGTTAGGATGGGAGATAATTTTCCAGTCATTTTGATTCGCAAACGTTCTTAGAAAGCTACTAACCCGTTTAGCCTCTGAGTTCAAAGCAGGGTCATCAGTTCTTGGTAGTAAGTTCGAGATTGTTACCTTTGTGTTGGAAGATTCGACTTCAATGAAATTTCCTAGATAGATCAATTCGTTCAGCAACCTTCCTAGAGTCCGAGTTCTTCATATCGTTTGTTCTCACGTGAGTTATAATTTCTTCAGCGTGATGCTTGATTGTAGGTTTGATGTAATCAAAGATGTCTTCAACGGAGGCTCCAGGAAAAGCTTCAACCACCGTTTTGACTTCCATACCTTTAGAGACCCACCAGCCTTGAACGTTTTTAATCAGTGAATCTCCCGCGATGACTACAACAAGTTTCTTGGTATTCATTTGATCAGAGTTTGTATCTGAACTTGGTTGAGGTTGAGGTTTAGGAGTGGTCATTGATCGCATCTTTTTGGTATTCTTTGCGGCATTTTCCTACAAATGCGAATCTTGTGTGTTCCTTTTCTTTTTCACCTCAACTAGCTCCTAAGGGACCTCTTCCTTAGTTTGTCGCGCATTTTGATCTCTTTTTTCGGTTGAATTTTGATTGCAGGTTAAAGCATTCAAATCTTTATTCCCGTTATGTTCACGATAAGGGCCTCAATGTTTCCTTGCATGGTTAAATGTTGCTGATACAATCAAATCAAACAAGGCTAATTAACCCAGTGATGCACGACACTTTTTACGGCTTTGAGTGATTTTCTAACAATCCGTAGGATTTCGTGACTCCGTATTTGGGGTTAACACAAAACGTAGTGCTGTTCTCAAATACAGACGGCTCGAATTTTCTGGAAACACCATTCTGACGGAGTCATTTTCCTTCGTTGAGCTATAATAACTGCTCAAGTACGGTTTGTATTCGATTTTGGGAAAGTTTATATACTACCATTTTTCATCTTTATTGGCTGCCTGATGGGCAACCTTAAGCGTGACAGTAGCTAAGAGTCCACTTTCTCAAAGAAGCGAGTAAGGAGATATACTTTGTTTGCGAATTTGGCTTCTTGCTCTTGGATCTGGAAAAATGACGACTGAAAATCACAACAAGTTCGAACTTTACATAGCAGGTCAGAGTGGCTGTACATACAGCATGCAATGCAGTCGTGATTTTGAAAATCGAGGCAAGGCCAGGATGCACTATAACAAAAGGCTGCTGCAGCACGGCCCGGGAAACGAATAAGAACAAAAAAGTAACTTTTAAGCTACAACAAGGACTGAATTTTACTGTGGATGTCTAATTTGGGGTTGCAACGATGACTTCTGTAAAACAACCTGAAGGCAAAAAGAACGCGTATTGTATCGTTTTTTTAAGACGTTAAAAACGGTCATTTTTGTTCTTGTACAAATTGAAAAGGTGATAGTTTGCAAGAAAGCTGACTTTTTTCTATTTATTGGATATTCCAATTTTATGGACATTCTACTCAATGCTCGAAACTGACGGTTAAGGCAATGTTCAAGAGATTGGGAAAGTTGCAATGTGTTTCAAAGCAGTGTATGTAGTCTCGTACGGCAGGTTTTGGTCAAATGGCCGTCACTGGGTTGACATAAGTATAAAAGAAAAGTTATACTGCCACCACTTTGGAATAAGGTGTATCAATAGACCGATTGCAAATATGGCGACGATCTCACCAAAGCGAGGCTTTTCGGTAGCAACCGTTGCTAAGGGCTGGTCGCTTGTTTATATGCTAATGCGAGTCCGTTTTTCACTCTGGAAACAATAAAAAACTTTCAAGAAGAAGTCATCGTCGGTTTGTTGTGTTAAAATAAAGCTCAGTGCTTTTTACTTTGCCTATATTATTATAATCGGAACGTAGATGATAGGAAAAATCACGATTGCAATGTACTCATTTCCGACTGCCAAGATGGTTCGTTTCTCACTGAGCCCGAAAATCACACTTAGAAAGGAAAAGACGAGGAAAAATAGCGAGAGCAAGGAAAATAATATAAGCTTAAAATGACGTATTGACACTTCACATTTGTACTGTTCAGCTGTTCTAGAATTATAGTTTATCAGTTTCAGATATCTCTTCTTAAGAAGTAAAATATTTAAATTGAGACATCTTTCAACAGCAGCGACAGTTTGGATAGGGAATCCCCCAAGTGCCTAGAG